GGCCTATGGATAGATGTCGTCATGCTAGTGCTATTATCAATGGTGACTCTACCTCACCTACACTAGTAGTGATTGGTGGAACAAGAAGGAATGAACTAGTTACTGAATGTTTGTTATTTGATAGTATCACTACTGGTCAGTATAGTTGTAGGAAGGTATGTGTGTGTATAGTACTGTAATGATGTGTGTGTGTGTATAGTTAGGTCAGTTGAGAGTATGACACTAGTACTGATGACTAGTACTAGTACTAGTACTAGTACTAGTACTAGTAGGATTAGAATTGATTTTACAATTACAATAAATGTAACGATCATCTACATATGAAATGATACAATTTCTCATTTTATAAGTAACTGTATAAACATCATGTATCAGTAATTACTTGTATACTTCTCTTTATCTACAGATTCCTCTACCTGAATCTGTTACTGGTAGATACAGTCACTCACTCACAGCAGTCACAATGTCACCACACTGTGTGTGGCTAGTAATTGTTGGAGGAGATGAAGAGATTAGATGGAAAGATGTTGGAGGAGGAAAGGAGGTGGCGAGAAGTATACCAATCACTGATACTAATAGACTAATAATGATAATTGAATTAGGTAAGATAATATTAATCAATTGTAAGGATATGAGCATTAAATACATAATTACATTAAATAATGTACCACTCATTTTTATAGCATGTACATTATTTGTAAATTTCAGTTCCTAATATGACGTACATTTTCCATTCATTTTGTATACTGTACACACTACAATACCACTGTATGTGTGGGTGTGTATTTACAACCACTAAAATGATACCATTAGTTTATAAATTAAATACATTTATTTATAAATATATAATGTATCTTATTGTCTCTCAGTATATAGTGAAGCTGGTGAGTGGATAGTACAGTCAGTACTGGATGGTAATTATCTCACTAGTAAGAACTATCAAGAAAAGTATCAATCGTACAGCAAGACCAGAACATGGTGGATGGATCAGCTAATAGAATATCCGACAGAGAGGGAAATGAAGCTTCAGAGATATATACAATCTTTACATGAAGACCTACAAGTGGCTCATGAGAGCAAAGTATCACTACAGGAGGCACTGGTTGATGCCAATAAACAAGGTATATAGGATACTACACACACACACACTTTAACTGTACTAACTGATTACTATTATGTACTATTGTGTGGTTATTGGTAGTGTGAGTGTGTCTATTAGTACTGGTTTACATTATGATACTAGTGGATTAGACAATGTTGAGCATTGTAATAGTATCCTGTACTCAATATAGGTCAAATAATGAGATTCATGTAGAGTGAGCTCTGCTTACCATATATGGTATGATTAGCAATAATCATAGCACATATATTTATGGGCTACTGTACATGCAGTGCAAATTTGTATAAGCTAGAAATAATATTGAATATGATTATCTAATGGTTTGTACATTGGTTGAACCAGTCTTTGGTATGTATATATTATCTGTATATTCTGTTGTGTTATTATGCATATACTGATTACTCTCTTCTTTTATATTATTATTCAGTTAAAGGTGATGATAGTAATGACTTTATAAGCAGTGTATTAGAAGAGATGAGACAAGAACAGGAAAAGTTGAATCAGATCATTACTGGTTAGTGTATCATCATCAATCAATAATGATCTATTAATATAGACCAAAGAGCGAAAATGTCTGATAAGGACTTGCACATAGCCAAACTAGTGAAGGAAAGACAAGAGAGATTTGGCTTCAAGCAACCTATCAAAGAGACTAGTTCCATTGGACTACAATTTAATTATCTGATCCCTTCAATGGGTAAGAGTATTATTGTGTGACTGACTGAGTGTATCTATTTATACCACTGTGTGTGTACTCACTGTATATATTTTGTATAATTGACAGATAAATTGGATTGTCTGAGTGAAGTACAGGTAGCCAAGAAGAAGCTGTTCTTAATTCAAGGAGACAAACCTCAACTGATGAATTGGGAGAAATATGGTCTAAGGATTGGAGTACAAGAAGCTAGTCTGTCCTCTACTGATACTGTGGAAACAGCAGTGGTTGCTCTTGTAGGAGGACAGTTTGACTTTCCAAAGAATACAGTACTAGTGAGTGCTGTTTATGCTGTTTCATTATCCAAGTCTCTCCTCAAGCCATTGCGATTAGAAATTGAGCACTGTGTTGATCTGAAGGGACGACCAGGCCTTACACGATTTTAAAGTTGCTATAGCTCCC